CCCATCCGTCTGCTGTAGCATCGCCAAGCAGAGTGGCAGCTTGCCATCCTTGAGCAGCCCCATTGATCAAATGGAATCGAAACAGCCCCATCATGCCTTCTGCCTCTTATCTTTGCGCAATGCTGCAAAGTTGCAAGCTCAGCTCTCGGTTGAGGTGGAAAGACTGTTGCTTCTTGACCAGAATAAGAAACCGCCACGCGCAAAGAAGCTCTATCTTCATCTGGCACTCGATGTTGTGGCATTTCCACTGGCTTTGACCTGCGCTTAATGGTTTAACGTTCAGCAAGCATGCCGAACAATTAGCCACCTTTGCACCGCACATCTGGCAATCTGAGAACGGTGCCAACAGCCAAGTGAAAGATGTTCGCTGCCATTCGCCAGCAGCGCCAGATTCGGACGAGACGGTGCTGCTTGGCACGTTCCTCTGCCACAGATGTGCGCAATCGACACCTTGAGTGGAAGCAAGCGCTGAACGACAAGAAAACTGCTGCAGAAAAACTTGGCACAAGCCTTCTGCTGCAAAGGTGCTGCTTGAGAAGCTGCTGCCAGTGTTCCCAAGAACATCGCAAAAGACATGACTGGCGATGTCGCAGGCATGTGCAAAGCTGCCGCCATGAGGATAAGTGTCGTCGGCAAGCGCCAACATGTGCTTGCTGCACCTGAACATAACTTCCTTGAAGCACCATACAAGACAAAGCGATGCTGAACCATGCAAGCACAACACGCTGAACATGGCCGAGATGCTGCCAGGATTTGAAGGCGTCGCTGAAGACATTGGGAAAGCCAACAGCGCATGGCTTCAATGAGACACCGCTCGTTCCTCTCAGTTTGCCATAGTTCCGCTTGAACCATCTTTGCCTCACTTTTCCAATGGTCAGGGCCATGGCCGGGTTTGGCCTCACAGTGCTTGCATCCTGACGCTGCATCAGGCAGCTTCGCGCCCCGGCTCACCGGCGTCACTGGGGTGCACCAATCGGTGCCGTCACATCCGTCACATCCGTCACTGCGGTCAGGAGTGGGCTGTCGGGAGCGAGCTGGGCTTGGAATCGCCAAAGACCTGGACCTTGGTGAGACCTTGGAAAACGGGGAAAATGGAATAGGAGATACCTCGAAAGCTGTCGGCTCTGGTGAAGCTCCGAAAGGCTGCGGCTCTGGGCTGTGCACTGACAGCCCACTGAGATCTGACAAGCTGCGGTTAATATCCAGTGCAGCAGGGGCGCTTGCCGTGTCACATTGCTCTCCAGACGTGTCCCTGCCACTGTTCGTTGCGTATGTGGTGGCTGACACTTCCAACAAGTCAGAGACCTCCATAGAACTGTCACCATCCCCCGAATAGGCGGCCAGGGTGATGAGTTCTTTGCTTTGAGTCCTTCTTGCGATCTCTCGCATCGTTAAGCAGCGCCACAGCGTGAATGCATCAGACACAGTCTGCTTCTTGGATGCCCGGCTGACACGGCTAAGCTTCATCACCTGGTGCCACAGCCGCATCATTGCTTGAAGGCAATAAAAGTGCGTGCTAGCCATCAGCCGTCTCAGCACCAAGCAATGCCAGCGGCGCACCGATGCCACCAAGTCTTGCTGGCACCGCCCGGTCATTTGTGTCCGCATTTGCGTTTGCTTCAGACTCGCACGGTGTCGCAGCCGCCAGCACGAAAAGGATGAACGCACTGCTTGTTTAGCCTGCATGCACGATAACGCTCTCAAGGAAGCCTCTGCCGACACCAGCCACTTCCAGTGACTCAAAGTTGAAAGCATAGATCTCTTGTACGTTTTCATCTCCAGCCGTGTCCTGCAGAGAAAATGCTAAACATGCCGCTTAAAACGACAAATGTCTCGCATGGTCTTTGTCAGCTCAGAGTCCCATGTGGTCGATGGGGTGTGTATATATATATATATGCGTGTGTGCACTCATGCGTGCGGCAGGTGCTCTCATTGCACAGTGGCGTGTTTGGCTTGTCTGATGCGTTCAAAATGAGCCTCAGAAAATGCCACGGATATGTACATGTGGGTGTGCCAAATCGTGTTTGTACCTCTGGTGTCCATTTAAAGCCACCACGAACAAACTGCCCTTTTATGTATATATATATATATGTATATATAATTTCCCCCCCAACCCGCCCCACACCCTACCTTTTACCATTCTTGTTGGAATGTGTCACATGAGTCATGTGTATCTTTTGAACGGCAATAAATTGGATTCAAGTATGGCGTTGATTGAAAACACTAGTCTATATATTAAAAAAGAATGGAGTACACGTAGCAAAAAAGTATTTGAACAAATGATGCTGTTTGCAGCTTCGAGCTCTGAAACCTGCACATGCCAAAAACACAAAAACTCCAAATCCGTGGAGTCTCGGGATATTTTATTGCGATTGCCACATTCAATCTAAATTATATTTGGGAATGATTGTTATTTACATTGATGTTTTAAGGCCGATTGAATTATTTCCAACAGTTTTGCACGCCTTCAAAGTTGGTTGGTTTTGGGAAAGCAGGCCAAGTTAAAGAGTTCCGAGCCCTCTCCCCCCCGCCCCCCGGGGAGGGGGGGGGGGCAGCACAGGCAACCAACCATCATCCCTTCAACTTAAGGTTTGCTGCAAAATGTTGCGGAACATGCTGTGCAATATTTTGTGCCGGAACTACTCAAGGACGGTTCAAGTAATTATGGGTTGCACATGACCACAAGTACTGCCCTACAGAACGCAAAGAATAGAACGCAGAGATTGAATGCAAAGATATGATACTATAAGATGCAAGACTGCGAGTGTAGTAATCGCTAAACTCAGTCAGTAGAATGCAGGGATATAGAAAATGACTGCGGATTTATCAAATGCTCAAATAGCTGTTGCTCTTTGAGCTTAGGGTGGATGTTTCAAAAATGTCAAGAGTATCTTTAGTGGTATTTATCTTTCTTGTCTTCTTCCTTTTTCTCTCCTTGCTGCTTGCAATCGCTACTTTTGACGTATGTCTTTCTTTCCTCTTGCTTGCTTTATTTTGTTCTTCCATTTCTTCTCTGTTCTTTCTTTCTTGCTTTCTCTCCATCTACCTTTCTTGCTCTATCAACCAATGTATCTATCCATCTATCGACCTTTGAAAAGCGCTGCGTCTGCCAGGAAACCTGCACCTGACCTTGCGAAAGCGCACCTGCCAAGAAATTCGATTCGCGCTGGCAACAGCGCCGTGCCCGCCACGACATCTTTACCTCACCCCTCTACAGCGCTGCGCGTGTCACGCAAACTGTCGCGAAAGGTCCGGGCCACCGGGCCCGGCTCCGATTGTGCGCTCCGAGCGCGCTCCGACCAGGCGTTGCAATCAGGCTAACTTTCCGTCCCAAAGAAGCGAACCCGCAGTGAAGTTGCACTTTCTGCACATTTCTATTCCGTCGCCACACACGCACATGTCCTTCTACACATCCTTTGATTAACAATTGAATAACATGTTACATTCCACATCTCTGCGCGCTATGCAGGACAGAAAGGTCAGGCACTACATCCACCTGTGAGTGCTTCTGGACACAGGCGTGCTTCAATGAACCTATTGAACACGCAAAGACTATGCCGCCTATGCCCTGTGATGGACCTGAGCCAAGTCAGCCAAGTGCCCATCGGAGTGCCAGTCGTGACCCCAGTCCGTCGCCAGAGCCGTGAAAGCTGGCGCCAGGCGCCCAAGGCTTCAAAGCGTGTGAGCGCAAAGCGCTGCAAGCGCTGCAAGCGCTGCAAGCGCAAACGGCGAAGGCCAGCTGCAAGAGACGCTTGCGCGCGCCAGGCTGCCAGCACCTCTCACCACGCACAAACAAAACAAATTTGTATGTGTGATATGTGTTGCATGTCAGGGTAACTCTTCCAACATTCTGTGCTTTGCCGGCGCCTTAGAGCGAATTCTGGCCTCAGCTGGCAATGAGTCTCAATGCAAGTTCAAGCACTTCTTGTGTTAAATGATATTGGCTGGCGTAGACTGCAACGAGCACGAGGCTCGCACTACGAGTTTGAGCTGTTGCAGCGCCAAACACCTGTCAACACTGAATCTACAGGCCGGTCAATTCACATTCCACGCTGACACTGCGTATCTGCTTCAGCGAGCCAAAACTCACTTGGCCTCCATTGTCTGGCAGTTTGTGCCTGAGAATCAGTGAAAGCACGGAGTGCTACGACTCTTTGCTTCGTACTTCCTCGTCAAGGTCTAAGCACATGACTGTCTTCAGTTTCCAAGCGTCTAGAACTGCCTTTCTCTCGCGCACTCCGCATGTCCTCTGAAGCCTGTGAAGCTTTCCGTGAAGCCTGTCAGTGTGCCAATAGAGTACAGAGACATTGGCTGTACTTGAAAAAACGCACCACAAACTGAAAAAGCTTCCTGTGGTGTGGAAGCAGCACACAGCCAAGGACGGTTGGGTCCTGCCTAGCTGTTTGATTCCAAAGTCTCAGGAGCGAAATCAGCGCTTTCGGCATCTGCTGTGCAAGACTTCGGTACCGTGCCTGCCATGTTCTGACAGCATCATGTTCAGACACAAAAATTAGGATGACTGAACGCAAGGAAACAAAACATGCCTCTGCTCTGGCCGCCAGCTTCCAGCGCTGGAGAGTTCTCCTAAATGTAAAGGGATGAAAGCTTAAAATAACAGAAGGAGCAAGCATGTGGTCGCAAACGCAATCCTGCGCGTTGCAGAAACAACGTGTTCGGCTAAACCCACGCTGCGTGCTCGCAAGTTCCGGCACCGAAGGCTGAGCTGCAACCTCGGGGGACACGCAATGGGTAAAACGAAGACAGCAACTGTGCAAACCCTCGCATTGACATGATAGGTCCGATAGGTGACTGGTTTCCTGTACATCCATTGAAGAACATCTAACCTTCACCTGAGCATGTGCCATCGTCGGAAGGACTGCAAAGGATTTGCTTTTTAGCACAGTGCTGTTCCGGCTCAGGATCGCCCAATCAGCGACTGGCACGATTGAATTATGGCATGAGCCAAAGGAAGGTGCTCGATGCACCGACATAGCTGTGCAACACATGTCTGCCGCACTCACGACGAGATGGCCTACTGGCCGCAAAAAATCGACACTCCATCGAGTTGGCGATGAAAAGAACTCAGCCTGCCTTTGAGAAACAGAGTCGACCACGAGGCTTGTGTGTGACTAGGGCTACGTTGCGAAGCAGCCAAGCGTTGTTCGGAGGTAAACACTCCTTGACCACGAATTCAGCCACATCAGCTCGGGGAATCGTTGGGTATGCACCGCAGGCATCTTCTGCAGCATGCCAGTGGCCCTTCCCAGGACCATCAACAAGGCCTCCGGGTCTCACCACCACCCAGTTTTTCAAACTCCTGACCATCTCCTCTTGGATGTGCTTGTCCGCCAAGGCTTCGGGGATGATCCAAGAAGCAAAGAACTTTGCAAAGAGACCACAATGCTGGTAGTGGTCACCCACACCAATGGAACTGATGCAAATCACTCGAGTCTCTGGAAAATTTTCGAGCGCCTGGTTAATGAGTCGCTGCGAAGAACTGCAAATGTCCACCCCTGGGCCCTTGGATGGCCCTCCAAGACTTACAATCACGGCATCAGCACCTTTGCAAGCCTCCTCCACATGCTGAGCTTCAGTTGAGGAGCCTTGGACTAGTGCAACGTTCTGGCGAAGTTCCTCTGGAATTTTGTCAGGACTTCGCACCAAGCACTGCACCTGCACATCTGGAAGCTTCTTCAACTTCTGCAAGATTTCCAGGCCAGTCCCACCCGTGGCTCCGAACAGTGCGACTTTCATGGTCTCGGCTACCTTTGCCTATTAGCTGAGTCAAGCCTTGAGCAGACCATGCCGTACAATGTCACTGCAAGTGCTGAATTTTATGAAAGCGTCTGTTCGCTTGTCGCACTATTGCAGCACAGCCCTCAGCTTGACACCAGCCCAGCAGGCTGCGCCGCATCAGGCGCAACGCCCATTGGGCTGCTGCCATGAGGACCTCACAGAGAAAGCAAAGCGTAACTCGGCGCAAGGGGTAAGGATGGGGACAGCCAACTAATTAACATCAGAAAACGAGGTGAGTCACTCAAGTCGCCATCTCCAACAGGGCTCTTGTTCTGTGCTCAGCGCACCTCTAAATCCCACTGAGGGTCTTGGAGAGCAGCATCCGGCGAAATCTGCGATGGTCAATCAAGACAATCAATGGCCAACACGGCTATCCTTCTCACAGCATGTTGACAGTACCCGCTGTGAATGGGCCAAATGTTGCCAATGTTTCCGAGCCTCAGTGCCTGGCAGCAGGACAATACCGCCAGTCATTTGGCGCATTCATTCGCACAGGTTCGACTCTTCTCTACCAGCATTAAGAATAGTGGTATAGCCTCAAAGTGTGACCTCCAACTATCGGCATCAATGCGGCATCAATGTGAAACCCAATGGATTCGCGGAAACAAATAGGCGGTTCAATAGGTGCTTCACGCATGCTTGAATTACCACTAAAGCCCAATGGCGCGGCAACGTGCGTGTGTCTGTGTGTGTGCGCCACTTGATTCCTCAACATGCAGTCCATTAGAAACGCGGAAGTCGCATGGGAATCTCTGAAGCGGCCTGCAAGTACAAGTCAATTGCAAATGCTCAAGTCAAAGCTGGAGGCAGGTGCGGACAAAGTGGGAGGAATTGCAATTTCGAGAGAGCAAGAACTCTTTCTCCTTGTGTTGAGTGCAAATCTGGATGTTCAGTTCAGGCACTGATGTGTGATTGACTAGGTCCAGACAACCAGTGTAAGCTTTTTGCATACTCCCGCAGCTGTCGCATCACACATTGGCCTTGGAGATGACACAGTCTTTGTGAAGCAACCGAGAATATGGATGGTGTGATGGGCTGAGAGTAAGTCGAAGACAATGCCCGAGTCTTTCATTAGCCTGGAGCTGGTCAAACATGTGTATATATATATACATGTATATCCCTATGTATATCGCTGCATCTCAGTTTCTCCCTTCTGTGTCAAGCAATGCTGCACATTGAATCAAACAGCGGCAAGTGCTTTGTTCGTTGCAACACAGCGCGGCCCCAAAGTTTGTGGCAAACGTTCGCTTTTCACTTAATTGCGCCAGCTTCATATCCACTACGACGAAGCCTCCATGCCTAACAAGCTTTGAGGGTGACCATTGCAAACATGTGAGCTCATGGTTGGCATGTCCAAACATTTCCAATGTGTGCTTTGTTGCACGCAGGTCCAATTCTTACTCTTTCCTGCAGTCGTGCTTCTCCGGCCACTTAGCAAGTTGGCCATGCCAGGTGATCGAGTCAGCTGAGACCTTGAGGTTCCACGGGCTTAAAAACTTTAACCGAGCTGTTGCACGAGCACACGGCGCAGCTGTTTGCTTGATGCTGACTGAAACTGGCAGCTGGTGCTTGACAGTAGGTCTCCTTCAAGGTGCACTCTGTGAATCTACTATACCCCCTTTTGCCACAGCTGATATGCTTCACAGATTCCCGCACAGTATGTGCATGTGTGTGTGTGTGTTCTTCCAAACATCTTGTGAAGTTGCTGCTCATTTCTTCCACAGTTGTGCCGCGTTTTGCCTGTCTAGGTGCGCTCGGTGCGTACTCGGTACACTCGATGAGTACTCGGCGCACTCGGTGCGTACTCGGGGTACTTGGTGCACTCGGCGCACTCGGTGCGTACTCGGTGCGCACTCGGTGCGTACTCGGTGCGTACTCGGTGCGTACTCGGTGCACTCGATGCGTACTCGGTGCACTTGGTGCGTACTCGGTACTCAGTGCATACTCGGTGCACTCGGTGCGCACTCGGTGCACTCGGTGCGTACTCGGCGCGTACTCGGTGCACTCGCTGCGTACTCGGTGCACTTGGCGCGTACTCGGCGCGCACTCGGTGCGTACTCGGTGCATACTCGGCGCGTACTCGATGCGTACTCTGTGCAGTCGGTGTGTACTCGGTGCGTGCTCAGTGCGCAGTCGCTGATCGCAGCCGCAATGGGTTTTTCGCCTCCGCGATCCCTTGGGCCTGTCAGCGCGAGGCATCTCAGCCATCAAAGTAGTTATCTCCCCTCCCCCCCGCCGCGCCCCAGCCCACGGGGGCAACTGCTGAATCAGAACAGCGCGACGCGGGGGTGGCTTCCGGGCAAACTCTCTCTACCCAACATGTTGCGCAGCAGCTTTTCACGCTTTGAAAGTTGGTTGGTTTTGGGGAAGCAGGCCACCCCTCAGACCAAAGTTCAACCAATCCCCAGCCCCCCAGGACCGCTGAAGGGAGGAGGGGGGGGGGGCAGCACAGGCAACCCACCATCTAAAAACCTTCCACTTTTGCCGGGTTGCAACATGTTGCGCAGCATGCTCTGCAAGTCTGCAACTTGTTGCTCCCAGAATTACTTGCAGGCCTTTCCAGTAGGCTTTCGGTTAGATGTTGATATCACCTCAGAGTTACCTCAGAGTTTGTTAAGACTGCTTCTCACAACCGTTTTGATTCAAAGAACCCACTAGTGGCTGTCGCCATGACACTTTCATCAGGCCTTCTAAACTTCTCATGCAAGTCATAAGACCTGAGGAAGTCTTCACCTGTCAGTCGCGCAGCACTGCAATCCCTTAGGCTTGTTGCATTCCATGCATATGCAAACCTCCCTCAGACTCCTGCACCGCCGAAAGCTGCTGCGGTCTTTGCCGCAGAGCGCCATTGTGAGCGCCTCTCAGCTTAGCACTGCTGCGAACCAGCTAACCAGCTTACCAGCTTCGGCTTAAGCTGTCGAGCTTATTGGCAAACGGCAAGTGGCTCAGCTCCGTGCGAACATGAGCGAACGCTTGCCCTGAAGGCCTCCTGCTATAGCGTAGACCTGGCAGATACTGAAGGGCCAAATGTCTTGTCTTGAATAAATGAGGTGCTTAATCAAAGACAGCCCGCGATGCCCGAGCATTTGCAATCGTTGCAGTTCAAACATGGAGCAAGCAACGCACTGGCCTGCTCGCTGCGCGTACGAACGAAGCCTATGTCTGCAACCGCAGATACCTAAGCATAAAATCCAACGAAATACCTCGATGCGCTTGCCACCTGGAGCACATCGACATCCAGGGCCAGCACAATCTTCCTTTTCTTCGCATGCGTGGCAAGTTGTTTGGCCTTGCAAATGCTTTGAGTCACTTTGTCTCGCTTCTCTTGAAGCAAGGAATGCCTCTGGAAGTTTGTCACAAGCTTCGTAGAGCGTCTCCGCCTGCTCAAAGAGGCAGCATATCCGGCATGGTGCAAGGGAAGGCTCACGCACGCACGCACGCACGCACGCACGCACGCACGCACGCACGCACGCACGCACACACGCACACACCCACACAAACAAACACACAAACACAAACACACACACACACACACACACACACACACACACACACACACACACCGCGCGCGCGCGTGTGCACCGACAATGACACCAAGCCATGCTCAGCTCTCTTTCAAATAAAGCGATTTCTGCATTGGTGTAACTTTGCACTTTTGCAATCTGGAGGTGAAACGCAAACAAGCTCTCTCCGTTCTCACCCTTGATCACCACCTTTAAATGTCACAGCTCGCTGCATGCAGCAGTTCTGAAGTTGCTCGCCCGCAATGGCCGCCAGAGCCAGGATTGCCCCAAGCAACAACAGCTCCATCTTCCCGCAGAGCTGCAAAGGATGCAAAGGAACCTGCCCAGGTCTCATGATGTCAGGATTCTACGTGGTCAGCCGTGTGGCTTTAAAATTGACATCTTCCCTCTGCCAATGAGGAGCAAGGTGCTTACGTACTGAAAGCGTGCAACATGCTTCACCAGCATGCTTGCTTTCCAGGGTATCTTTGGTCCTGATATTCATTTGCTCATTTTAGCAGGTATGCATGCTGAGTGAGGTCATGTCTGTCCATTGCATCTTTGATGATACATTATACATGTCTCTCTCGCGAAGGCGGTTGAAACCGCCGCGGTCCCAGCCTGCCACCTGCTGCACGTCAAACAGCTGCTCCTGTACAGTAGGGAATGAGCACGGAATGGCAGGGTTGCTGTCTTTATCTTCTGTTAAACATGTTGAAAAGTTGCTCAACGAGCAAAAGCTGCCATCTGACCCGCTGTACCTGCCTTGACTGCCGAGCAATCACCTCCATGAATGCTGTGACCCCAGGTCACAACAGTACCGTCATTGCGAATGGCTGCAAAGGCGTGACTTGTTGCCTGAATGTCCCACACATTCTGAAGCAAGCGCTGCACGGCGCTGCTGTCGCCACCAGTTGACGAGTCTCCCCAAGTGACCACACTGCCATCGTTTCGGAGAGCAGCAAATGCTCCATGTGAACCTTGAATTTTCTGCACGCTGCTCAAGTCGAGGTCAGCAGAATTTCCTCTCGCTGCAGCGGGTCCGAGTGTGACCACCTTTCCATCTGATGATAGCAAAGAAATTGCTTGTCCACTAGATGCCACCAAACTGATGTCTGAAAGCTGCTCAAGCTCCTCCTCGTCAAATTCCAGCAAAGGGTCACCCCAAACCACAACACTTCCATCTGACTTAGTTGCAACGAAGCACAGGCTGGTCGAGTATATATGATGCACATCCGTCAGCTTGTCTTGCACACGAGTGCTATCACCACCAGCTGTCGGCATACCCCACGTCACAACGTGTCCATCTGCCCGCAGGGCAGCGAACGCTGCAGAAGTTGCTTGCAATTGCTTGACCCCGAAAAGCTGGGTGTCGACACCACTCGAGTCGCCACCCACCTCTGCAAGTCCCCACGTTACCACATGGCCATCTGCCTGCAATGCGGCAAAGGCAGAATTGGAAGCCACAGTGTGCACCACGTTAGTGAGTCCATCAAAGCCTTTGCCTCCATGGCGTGCCTCTCCCCACGTGACAACTGTTCCATCGGAGCGAAGGGCAGCGAAGGCATATTCGTTTGCTGCCAGCTCATTCACATCCACAAGCTGGTCTTTCACATTGGAGCTGTCACCACCACAAGCATCGTGACCCCAGCTCACCACAAAGCCTTTCTGATGCACCAGGGCAATGGCAAGCGAGCGATGGCTAGTCACCAGGCGAGTACGTCGCACAAGTGCGTTCACCGTATCTCCATCGGTCAAGCCGACCTCGGCGACACTTGCCACATCAGTCAACTTCTCGCCACTGAGAGAGACCAAGGCTTCGATGCCAACTTGGAGCCGTGATTGGGTCTGCTGCCTGACAAAGTCTAAAGCATTCAAACCAACCGTGCCGCAGCCAAATTTGGGTGCGGATACATTTTTGGCTTTTTCTTTTTCTTTTTTTCGGTTATTTTTGGTTATACTGTCGTATTTTGCAGCATGTTCTCGCGAAATTGACGCAGTTTACACTAGCCCGTCAACATCCCCAGCATCGTTTTCAACATCCCACGCATGTCCGACCATCATCCCTAGCATCACCAACAAATCGTGGGTAACAAAATCCAAAAAGTAGCTGGCGGGTTGACGGGGTCAAAAAAAATGATTCAAACAGGAGGGCATTTCAATCCCAGTTTTATTTTCTTTTTTAAAAAAAGCTGGGGGGTTGGGGGGGGCGGCAGCCCACCCCATGATGGTCGCAGAAGTGATGATTCGAATAGGGGTGCAAGAAAATCTCTGAAAAAAGTCTAAAAACTAGCGGGGGGGTTGGGGGGGCGCAGCCCCCCCGATGATGTTCGAAGAATTGATGATTCAACTAGGGGTGCAATTAAATCTCTGTAGAAAATCTAAAACGTAGCCGGGGGGTTGGGGGGGGCGGCAGCCCCCCCATGATGTCAGAAGAAGTGATGATTCAAGTACAGGTGCAATGATTCAAGAAAGGGTGCGATTGAATTTAAAAGGCAGCGGGAGGGTTGGCGGGGGTGGCTTTACCTAAAATGTCGTATTTTGCAGCATTTTCTCGCGAAATTGGACGCTCGAAAAAATGATGCAAGAAATCTAAAAAGTGACGGGGGGGAGGCGGCAACCCCCCCATGATGTTTGAAGAAGAGTTGATTCAAATAGGGGTGCAATTAACAATCTAAACAGTAGCGGGTGGGTTGGGGGGGGTTCCCCCCCCCATGATGTCCGAAGAAGTGATGATTCAAATAGGGTGGTGGTGATGCTGATGATGCGGGAAGCCAAATCCAAAAACCAATGAAAGGGCGCAAAAGCCAAAAAGCCCGAAGGATGCGAAAAGCCAAAGCCGCCAAAAGCCGCGAAACCAGACAAAAGCTGCAAAAGCCAAAAAGCCACCTGCGCCGAAGAGGAACTGGGAATGCAGAGGATGCGAAAAGCCAAAAAGCCACCAAAAGCCACATAAACCAGCAAAAAGCCGAAAAGCCCAGAAGCCGAGAAGCCATCAAGCCGAAAAGCCAAGAAGCCAAAAGTTAAGAAGTCAAGAAGCCAAAAAAAAAAACTCCGCTAGATTTTGAACTCCAAACCTCAAAACTCGGACGAGGTCATGCGAATGAACTGCGATGCAGGTAGATTGGCCGCTGAGCAATGTGATCTGAACTCTCACGGACATTGTGGCATAGCGTCACGAGGCAGTAATTAGGACCTACCTTGCATCTCATGCGCTTCCTGGTATGACACGAGCGTTGTATGTTGGATCACATCAAGCCAGTTTGTCACGCAAGAGCATGTGATGCCAAATATGCTCAAAGCTTAAGCCTTCTGCAGCTGTGGGATAGGGACAGCAGCGCAACAACATTGCTCTGCACATGAAAGGACATGAAAGGAAGACGCGCTTTTGTTGGATGTGTTCAACCTTGGCGCATCTCTTTATGCAAATGCCTTCGAGTGCTCGCCGAGAGCTGCCTGCAGGAGCGGAGCTGCGTTGGAGTCCTCAATCAGCTCTGTGGTTGGAGAAAGAGTTCGGGCGCTTGCATAAGTCACTCAGACAAATCGTCTTGGACTGCAACGAACTCAGTCCCTTTGCTGAGGCTCACGATAGGAACCTCGATGTGCACAGCCAAACTCGACAATGATGGGTTTTGATATCGATTTGGAGTTCAAATGGGCGTGCGACATCGCCAAAGACCTTGGATGTGCAGCTGTGGCGGCTTGACTAGGCTTGACGTGTCTTGAACTGACTTGGCCTGTTGATTTGCCGGAACAAGAACTAAGCGATGACTGAAAGACCGACAACGTAATATCAGCATGAGGTCTGCACGTAGACCATGACGCCAGCAATGCTGGTCTGTGTCAGAGAAATGACCTCTTTGCGGGGAGGCTCCGTCTCGGTTTTGTCCACTTCCTGGTAGATCATCAGAAAACATGTGACACTGCGGAGACCATGTCAGGTCCGCACATGTTTCTCCTTGCTCTCCAAACCTTGCGCAGCGAAGTATAGCTACACCAAAAGAGCGACCTACTCCACATGCTTTTGTGCTCACCCTTAAAGCAGAACTTCAGCTCCAGCCTGCTTCAGGCTTGCGCTTTTCACTCCAGTCCCAGTAGCCTTTTGAATTGCCTGAACTGTGATGCCTTTCCATCAATTGCATGACCGTGGCATACTATCTGACTGTTTCAAGCTCTGCCTTGGCCACGGCCGTACTCCCAGTCACTGGACCAACCTGGTGCGAAGCCAACATGAAAGATTGAGTACACCTGGATTTGTAGGTTCAAGAAGGAATGTGAAGTGAAGTGCCAGCACCATTCCAAATCAAAACAGAAGCAGCGTCAAAAGGTGCCTTGTTCTGGTGCAGCCCAGCAACACAATATTGTAGCTAGTGTATGGTATTGCATTTGCTGTAAAGGGTATTGGTTTAGCATGCATTTTCACGTGCTGGTGTCGGTGATGCCTACTTGTAGCTGGCCATGGTTGCTAGCCATGTTGCTGGTCATGTTAGGAAAAGTTTCAACAGTTCTATTGAGCGCAGCGCAGCGCGCGTGGCGCGCTAGTGCACAGCACGCGCTGTTGCGCGGCATGCTGCACGCAACACGCGCAGTACTTGCAGCCTGGAACGTGCGAAGGGCGCAGTTTACGGCACTGCGAGTGCAACTCGCGTTGCGCAAAAAGGTGCGTGGATGCGTGGCATGGAATTTGGCCGTGCACGCGCCAGCGCGAGTCTGCGCTGTGCAACGTGCTGCGCCTGCGGCGCAGCGCACGTCGGCCCGAAAGGGTTCGTTCCGGCCGGCTGGAACACTGTTTGATCTTTGCGAGTGGGGCAAAAGTTCAAAAGCACACTGTTTGATCTGCATAGGGTGCGCGGCCATTGGGCCATGCCTGTGTGATTTGCTGGCCGCACCGAATGGCCATGGTGATTCCTGTTGTGCTTTTCTCGCTGGATTCGACCTCCAGCAAGAGCACATGAATAGAGACCAAAGCCTAGCGTGTCTGGAAGCGAAGCTTGCCGCTTGCCGCGTAGTTGTCAAACGGCTTCGGTGAACACATGACAAAATGGTTGCGACCTTTTGGCTTCATGGAGATCAACTACAGCAAAGCAAAGTGCCTTGACTCCATGAGCTCCATGATCCTGGAACGCATAAGGGCACAGTCGGATATCGAACATCTCATTTAGAGTCACAATCAACACCTGGTACAAATGGGTGGACCCAGGTTTCGATTATGGCTCGTTTGCATGGCCTCTCTTCCAGCTCCAGTCTGTGCTCCCAGTCCATGATCTGCTCCTGTCCAAGACAGTCTTGAGCTTGCCATGAAACGCTCTCTCAATCCTGGCTCTCCGTGCGTTTGGAGAGCAGTGCCTGCGCATGAGAAGGGTCATGGAAGTTGCCATCCCAAGGCAACCCTGAAATTGGTTCTCCGTCTGCGAATACATGCATATTACGTGGATAAATAGAAAAAAATAGTGGTATGTACAAATATGTGTATATACTATATATCTATATACATATATACACGTGTAAGTGGATAACGACTCAAATTTTCCACCGAGTGCAATGAGGCTCCCAACCGGTGCAAGATGTGATTCGGGCACGAGCCTGTGCCCAGGCAATGGGTAAGTTGGGGTAAACAAGCCACAAAAGAAAGGTTCCCCAAAAGCAAACCAATCCCCGGTCCCAAAGATCAGGGTTTCCCACACACCAGAGAACAACAACCAAAAGGGAAATAAACCAAAGTAGAAAAGGATACCCGCAACCTAGATCGACGATGAACCGCACGGGCGATCCCCACCAACCTACCCCGGGCCGAAGTCTCTTTCTCCTCCGACACGAAGGCGGTCGACGTGAGGGCCCGGCGACGCTCATCCGAGGCGCGCCGGATCCAAAACTTGAGCCAAAACACCACAGGTCGGTCACTAACGCGACGTCCCTGATGATGATATGAACCATGGCTAATCACACCCCCCTCACGAGGAGCCCGTCATATGACGGGTGGAGCGTGCCATTTACTGATAGGATTTAACTGCTCGCATGCGTCCGCAAACAGCTGGACACTACCGCCGTCAGCGGTGGAGCAAACCCACAAAGGCAGTTGCGCGACATCCCGGGCATTAAATTCCCGCCACCACCCCGAATTAATCGGGGTAACGCTGTCCAACACACCTTGTGGAAAAGTCCACATGACGACACTAGGTCACAACTGTTTGCATCAACAATGCAAGAAGTTTAATTCTTATCAGAAGCCATGAAATAAAAGATAACGTATGTCCATAAGTACCCTCGCCTAACGGCAAGAGGTACTCCTGACCATGCGTACCTGAAAAATGCTTGAATTCCGCAAACCCGGGAGTAACCCCCCATCAGTTTGCTTTCCCTCTCACTCACACTGCTTCCTGATGAACACGTCCAGCAGGCCAGCAGCGGTATGGGAGAGACATGACCTCCGCGCCTCAGCGGTCCGGGAGGAACATCATCACCTCCGCACCGCGCCGACCATTGGAGAATAGACGCAAGCCTATCGGCCGCAATCCTCGTGACTCAGCCTACCGGCTATCGTCACGTCTCCTCCGGTCACGTCCGCCCCGCGCACGGTCCCTATCACGATCCCTCTCGGATCTCCTGCGATCATCTCGCCTGCGATCTCGCTCCCGATCAAGTGATTCATCATCACGACGATCACGAGCATCGTCCCTCCTCCGGTCTCGCTCATCCTCGCGCCGTGGACGGTATCTGCGCCTCCTTGACTCTCTGGAATCCCTGGTGTCCACGGTCCTAACGGACCTCCGAGAAGGAGTACGGGAAACATCCGATTCCCTACGCCTCCTCCCAGATTGAGAGTTCGTCACGATCTGGTTGAGAGCCTCCAGTGCCGACGCGTCCTCACCATTTCTGATGAAATCCCTGACCTGCTTGTTCAGCACTCTGTTGGTGGAGATCGTCAAGAAAGCGTCCACCACCGAACTCTCAGGCAGCACCAGGAAGTGACCCTCCACCGGGCTCGCCGCAGCCCGCTCAGCAGACTGCAGCCGGATCTCTCCGCCTTCAGGCTTCTTTGCCATCGCCTTGGAGGCCGTCAAAGGCGCTACCGCGTCCTTTGCCGAAGATCTGCCAAGCGCGGAGTGAAGATCATCCCCGCTAGCTTCTCTCGCTGCCGCACCTGGTCTGCTGTCTACGTCGCCAGGCCTCGTGGATGCCTCCCGCTTCGTCGACTCCTTCGCAGCCTCGTCGGGATCCCAACGGGATTTCCTCTCTCTCTTCTGCCCTTCGGCCGACCCGCGGCTACCGCCGGGAGCGTCACCTCCGCCTGTCTTCTCCTTCTTGACCTCAACCTCCGGTTCGGCCTGCTTCGTCTCCTTAGCCACAGCTTTTGGAGCCGGAGCATTCTTCGCCTCAGATGCTGAAGCAGCCTTCCCTCTCGGCTCGGCCTTAGGAACCGGAGTCATTTTAGCCTTAGCACTCGGCCTGGCCCCTTCAACCACCATCTCAGCCCAAGACTTCTTCGGCTGGGCCGCTGCTGTATCAACCTCCATTGGAGTAGGTCCAGCATCATCCTTCGTCTTTGGGACAGATGGGCTATCGCCCTTCCCAGATCCTTTACCTGACGCTTCACCTGACTTTGGTGGTGGGCCGGAAGGACTACCGCCCTTACCGCCCTTTTCCCCTTTCTTCCCTTTTCCTTTTCCGCCCTTGGGGACCGGCTCCTGCTTGGGACCAGGACCCGGCGCAGCATGATGCACCGATTGGAGTCCCTCGATGTCCACGTTCAATGGTTCGGGTTGACGACCGTCAAGAACCGTCCTCACCCTTTCATCGCTAACGTAGACGAACGGGTCACGGAAGGGTGCGGGAGGCTCCGACTGTCCGGCACTGATCGCCTTCTGCACCTTGGCTATCGCCTCCTTCAACCTTACCCTGTCTCCGTCACCATGTACTTCCTGAGCTGCGACATCAACGCATGACTCTCCAGGATGTCCACGTCCTTTCGATGGGTCGGGTACAATGGGGTCAGATGACCAGCCGCGGAACCAATCACGTATGCCATCGGAATATAGAATGACAAGTACGTGTCATGGCGAGCAAACTTCCTAACGGAAGTCGTCATACGCCTACCCCACTGAGCAGCGTGTCTTGGGTTGGCCCGGAAGTACTCCGTGACCGACTCAAATCTATCGACTTGGTTGGTCTTGATCAGGTGCTTCGCCACCCACTTCTCCACA